TATGACAGTTATATGCCAACAAATTGGACAACCTAGAAGAAAGGGGTAAATTTCTAGAAACATAACAACCTACTAAGACTGAATCATGATGAAATAGAAAATCTGAACAGATCGATTACTAGCAAGGAGATTGAATCAGTAATCAAAACCCTCCCAACTAGCTAAAGTCCAGGACCAGATGGCTTCCCTGGTGAATTCTACCAAACATTCAAAAAAGAATTAATACTAATCGTTCTCAGACAGTCCCAAAAAATGGAAGAGGGGGAAACTTTTCCAAACACTTTTTATGAGGCCAGCATTACCCTGATACCAAAACTAGACAAGAACACCACAAGAAAAGAAAATTACAGGCCAATATCTTTGATGACTATAGATGCAAAACTTCTCAACAAAATATTAGCAAACTGAATTCAATAATACATTAAAAAGATCATACAGTGTAATCAAGTGAGATTTATTCCAGGGATTCAAAGATGGTTCAACCTCCACAAATCAGTCAATGGAACACATCACATTAACAAAATGAAGGATAAGAATCATACGATCATCTCAACAGATGCAGAAAAAGCATTTGACAAAACTCAACATCCATTTATGATAAAAATTCTCAAAGTGGATATAGAGGGAATGTACCTCAACATAATTAAGGCCATGTATGACAAGCCCACAGCTAACATCATACTCAGTGGTGAAAAACTGAAAGCTTTTCCTGTAAGACATCAGGAACAAGGCAAGGATGTCCACTCTCACCACTTTTATTAGACACAGTATTGGAAGTCCTAGTCAGAGCAATTAGGCAAGAAAAAGAAATGAAAGCCATCCAAGTTGGAAGGAAAGAAGTAAAACTGTCACTATTTGCTGATGACAAGATATTATATACAGAAAAATCCCAAAGACCTCATATAAAACTATCAGAACTAATAAAGGAATTCAATAAAGTTGCAGGATACAAAATCAACACTCAAAAATCTGTTGCATTTCTTTACACTAGCAATGAACTTTCAGAAAGAGAAATTAAGAAAACAATCTCATTTACAATTGCATCAAAAAGAATAAAATATCTAGCAGTAAATTTAACCAAGGAAGTGAAAGTCTTGTATATTGAAAACTATAAGACACTATAGAAAGAAATTGAATAAGACACAAATAAATAAGATATTCCATGCCTATGGATTAGAAACAGTATTGTTAAAATGTCCATATTACCCAAAGCAGTATACAGAGTTAATGCATTCTCTATCAAAATTCCAATAGTATTTTTCACAGAACTGGAACAAACATTCCAAAACTTTTATGGAACCACAGTAGATCTGAATAGCCAAAGCAATCTTGAGAAAGAAGAACAAAGCTGGAGGCATCATGCTCCTTGATTTCAAACTATATTACAAAGCTGTAGTAATCAAAATAGTGTGGTATTGGCATAAAAACAGACTCGGAGATCAATGGAACTGAACAGAGAGCCCAGAAATAAACCCACACATACATGGTCAATTAATGTATGACAAAGAAGCCAAGAATACACAGTGGGGAAAGGACTTTCTCTTTAATAAATGGTGTTGGGAAAATTGGAGAACCAAATACAAAAGAATGAAACTGGATCACTGTCTTACACTATACACAAAAATTAACTCAAAATGGAGTAAAGACTTGAAAGGAAGACTCGAGACCATAAAAAGTCCTAGAAGGAAACAGGTGGTAAGCTCCTTGACACAGGTTTTGGTGATGATTTTTTGAGTCTGACACCAAAAGCAAAAGCAACAAAAGCAAAAATAAAAAAGTGAGGCCACATCAAACTAAAAAGCTTCTTCACAGCAAAGGAAACCATCCACAAAATGAAAAAGTAACCTACTGAATGGAAGAAAATAATTGCAAACCTTAAATCTGATAAGGGGCTAATATACAAAATATATGAGGAACTCATACAACCTAATAGCAAAAACCAAACAATCCAATTAAAAATGGGCAGAAGATCTGAATAGACATTTTCCCAAAGAAGACACACAGATGGCCAACAGGTACATGAAAAGATGCTCTACATCATTAATCATCAGGAAAATGCAAATCAAAACCACAATGAGATATCATCTTACACCTGTTAGAACGGCTACTATAAAAAAGACAAGAAATAACAAGTGTTGGCGAGGATGTGGAGAAAAAGGAACCCTTGTGCACTGTTGGTGGGAATGTAAGTTGGTGCAACCACTATGGGAAATAATACAGAGATTCCTCAAAAAATTAACAATAGAACTACCATATGATCTAGCAATTCTACTTCTGGGTATTTATCTGAAGAAAAGAAAACACTAATTAGAAAAGATATATGCACCCCCATGTTCACTGCAGCATTATTTACAATAGCCAAGACATGGAACAAACTGGGCGTCCACTGATGGATGAATGGATGAAGAAATTGTGGTATATGTACAATGGAATATTACTCACCATAAAAAAGAATGAAATCTTGCCATTTGCAACAACATGGATGGATCTAGAGTAATATTAGGCTAAGTGAAACAGGTTAGATAGAGAAAGAGTAATACCATGTGATCTCTGTTATATGTGGAATATGAAAACAAAAAACCCAAAAACCTCCCTCTAAACCCCAAAAAACCAAACTCATAGACACAGAGAACAGATTGGTGGTTGTAAGAGGTGGGGGGTGGCAGTGGGAGAAATGGGTGAATTTTTTTTTTTAGTTTAAATAAATTGAATTAGAGAAAAGAACATGTTTCCATGGACGTTTCAGGCTTTTTTGACCTTACGCTCCTCAGAGCTTGCTCAGTTCTGGGTTAAACGACAAGGCCTTCTAAGTCCTCACTAGGGCCTTGGGCCTCTTGTCTCCTTGATTTTTAAACACATTGCGTTACCTTTACAGAGGTAAGATTAAGGTCAATAGTTCTAATCATGTGGGTTTCAGAGGGGACTAAGAACAGAGGACCCATTATTGTTGATGGAGAGCTCCTTTGTAAAAAGGTAGAGTATGGACTTGCAGGATGAAAAAAAGAGAGAGACAGAGAAAGAATGGTGTCTCCAGCAAATCTCCAGCGTCTGGAGAGATCCAAAGAAAAAATTAAACATGTAGCTTGTGTCTTTTGGAATTGAAACACAGGTTCTTTCACGAAGCAGCATTTTATGCCCTGGCCTTCCAGAAAATACTGTCTCTTGGTCTGCTTGTGTGGGGGAATGAAGAAAACAAGGCAGCTGGAAAATAAGTAGATTTAGGGAAGAACGCTTCACTGTGTGAACGTGGGAATTTGTTTCTGAATGCAGGTTGATGGTCCAGTCGTAGAGAACTCAAACTTGTGAAATGGGCATAGTGTGTATTTTTGTTATTTACAGTGTAGTGAAAAGCAGCCAAACTTTGGAGTCATACAGACCTGGGCTCAAATTCTAGCTATCATTTAATAGTTATGAGACTTTGGATAAGCTCCCTAATTTGTGAGCTCTATCTTCCTTATCTATAAAATGTCAGGGGAAAATAGTGCGCCCCCCCGAGGTTGTCCTGTGGGGTCAATGAAGTACTGTTTAGCGTCTCAAGCGTGGAGCCTGGCCCTCGGTGAAGAGGGCTGTGGCTCTAATGGTTCTTGCTCACGGGCTGATTTCTGCGTCTTCTGTGTCCTGCACCAGTTTGCACAGCCCACTCTTACCCCACATGTCATGGTGATCTTATACTTGGTGTGGTTGTCCATGTGCCTCTCCCATTAGAGCACCTGCTTCTTCTTGCATTCCAGAGCCCGGCAGAGAGGTGCTCAGAATATGGTCATTGGATAGAATTTCGTTTTTCATATTTTTGCTGGTAATAACAATAGCTTGAATGCAATATTCTTTTTAAAATCTTAATCTTGGCAGAATCTTTTTTTTTTTCTTTTGGAAGATTAGCCCTGAGCTAATATCTGCCGTTGATCCTCATCTTTCTGCTGAGGAAGACTGGCCCTGAGCTAACATTCATGCCCATCTTCCTCTATTTTATAAGTGGGACGCCTGCCACAGCATGACTTGATGAGTGGTGCATAAGTCTATGCCTGGGATCCAAACTGCCAAACCTCAGGCCACCGAAGCAGAGCTCACGAACTTTAACTGCTGCGCTGCCTACCGGCCCCTTAATCTTGGCAAAGTTTTTGTTCCCCTTTTTTAAAGAGGTTATTGGAAACTATAATTGCATTTATAAATTTCTTAAAGATATGCACTTCCGAATCTGTTTCCTCATCAAAAAAATGGAAAAACTCATAGAAGCCCTTTCTTACGGGGTCACTATGAGGATTAAATGACTCAGCATCCATGCAGGGCTTGGCGCAGGCCTGTTACTGAGCAGATGCTTAGTAAGCACTTGTGATGATTGTGTCCAATTTGCTGTATATTTGCTATTATAGAGACATAGTGTTTGAGGTAATTTCTTTTGTAATTTCTATTTTTTAAAAAATATGTTTGTTACAAAACTAATAATGTACTCACTACTGAAAATTTGGAAAATATAAAAAATACTGACTCCCCAGCTTAACGATTGGCTCTTTTCTGAGGCTCTTGTGGAGCAAGTTCATGGTGGACATCACTCTTCATGGAAGATATGAGAGAAGTGGCGGCCAGGACTGGGGTCTCCAGACAGACCTGCAGATATGGAAGTCCTCTGGCCCAGGGCTTCCGTCTGGGCATGGAGCACATTCCTGCTGGGCTTCCTGAATCTGTTTGGAGAAGATTATCAATTATGGGCCCAGCTACATGGCATCTTTCATTCCAGTCTGTGTTTCTGAAGCTGCCTTACTGGGACCAGAGTATCACTCTGGAGCCTCTGGCATGGGCCTGATTGTCCTAGGACTTCTGGGGTCCACATCTAGACTCAGACTGCCTTGGCTGCTGGTCCAGCCTTCCCATGCCCAACCCCTGGTTTGTCTAATGTTGATTGTGTCAATTAGGCTACATCCACATTTATGACCAAACAGTTGTCTCATAAAGCAGCTAGCAGCTGCTTTAAATACATGCTCTCGTTTTAAACCTCTCAACCACATGGAGCCCCTGCCCTGTCTCCCACTCATTGAACTGACTCTTTAATAATGGATCCAGTGACTGCAAATGGAAATGCAGCCATATTAGCTGCGTGGCTGCACCACTTGTTCATTGTCTTCCCGTTCTTCCACAAATGAGGAGGATCACCAAGGATACACCAACAATTACATTCTCTTCATTTAATCTCAGACAGAGCTTCCAAACTGGCCCTTCCTGTCCATCCCCGTTGTCTAGTCTTCTTGAAGCCCTGAAAATGTGTTCATGCCGTGCTACAAAGTACTGTCGACTTAGTCCCAACCCACATTTCCAGTCTCATTTCCCGGAAGAAGGTGTGGCTGATATCCAGCTGTTCTAGACATTTTGCCACCCAGGGTCTATCACAAATTGTCCGTAAGTCCATGTCTTTCCCAATGCTTCTCTCTTTGCCTAGAATGTTCTCCTGTTTTGGAAAAGTCCTGCTCATCCTTTTTTGCCTAATCTGAATGTGATTGCAGTGACTTTCTTTGTTGACTCTGGAAAATAGACAGTTATCCACTCCCTTCCAATGCTCTCAGAGCTCTCTGTTTTGTCTCTGTTATGGCCCGTATGGTGTGCTGTAATTATTTATTTACACATCCGTCTCCTCACACTGGACTGTGAGATTGTGGAAGGCAGAGGTAGCTCATACTCAGTGGGACATCTCTAGAGCCTAACACATAGTAGGCATGCCCTGTTGGTTGGAAGAATAACTAGTGACCGGATGAAAAATTTCTTTGCTCGTATAAAACAGACTTCAGGTTGCTGTGCTTTTGTGATTTAATGTAAAGTGATAAAGTTTAAAGGGGGAAAACTTTCCTAACCCATTGCAATATACAGCAAGAGATTTTGTTGCTTTTTTCTGTTCTCATCTGCCATATGGCTTTCCGTTCACAAACCGCTCTAGTGAGAATTACTTTTGCAGGTAATTTTCTAATGATTGTCTTGGGATAAACAAATTTATCAGACTTGTTTGGATAATGTATTCAAGGAGGTTCACAGGGGAAAAGATTAATCATCTAAGAAGCAAGGCGGTGTCTGTCATTAGGCGGAAGGGTCCAGAGATGATGAGAGCTGAGCGGGTGGTTGCTATGACTGCGGATACCTTTCTCTCCCTTTGTGAGGTCAACGGCAGCTCCCAAGCTGATTGGCTAAAATTAGATTATCCTGCTGACCAACCATGGGGAGTTAATTTCATCAGAAAGAGAAAAATGGTGGGAAATCCTACCGTGATGCTACAAAGGAATTTTCTTTAGAAACCCACAGAGTCCAAGTTTGCTTTTGTTATAATTAATATGTTCCTTCTAATAAAATAATTTAAAGGAAGCAGACAATAGCACTAGCCTATTATTTTGTATATCCATATAAGCTTTAATCTGGTTTGTCCTAAAACCAACTCTCAAAGTTAAAGTAACTTTTATTTTCCTGTAATACCTCCATAATCGAAGACTGTCATCACGTACGTGTTTATATAATTGGAATAAGCTAACTGTGAAGAACACAAAAGGAGCTGGCACAGTTAAAGGTATTTGCTTGCAGGGCTCCCGCCCTAGGGAAGCAGTGGGCACAACAAACTTGAAGCAGAACCATTTACCTTTGGAGTGGGAGCATCATTTGAATTGCATTTGAATGGAATCCTGCCTTCCAAAGGGTTCTTTCCTAGAAGTCATATATGGCCCACGCTCTGGCTTTCCACCTGGCACATCTTTTGTTCTAGGAATTAATCACCACTGACCTCGCTTATTATATTTATTTCTGTCAAGGAAGACACAGAATTAGTTAATCTTGGAAACAAAGATGTGTCTATCTGCAGGCTCTGCTGAGTTGTAAAACTAAGTGGTTGTGAAATACAAACCAAAGAAAGCAAACCAGGATTTATTTGTTTCTTTAGCGCTTATGTGACTGTGGAAATAAAATATAATTAAGGAAGAAGTAGCAAAAGAGCGAACGTTGATTGAATTCTGGACAATCTACATGCTTCTATCTGTAAGGCTGACAAATCAGCATATTTTAAAAATCAGATTACCTAGTTGCGGTGCATTTGCTTCCGTGCTGAAGGGCCCATGAAGAGCCACCCAAAATGCCCCTTGCCTGAGAGTCATGTTGAGGGAGTCGGGATCAGTATGTACATATAAAAGGTCATGAAAAACTCTAGGCTGCAGAGAAACAGTGCCAAGCAGTCGTTTCATGCAGGAAGCACTGTGCGAGTTCCTAGGAGGAAGAGAACAAGACCGCCATGGGCTGAACGATCCAGATCCAAGGATTTCTCCCAGAGAAGGGAGAAAGATGAAGAGCCCGCCACCATGATCTGTGTACTGTTTGCACACCACTGAAGACTTAGAAAACAAAGATAAGTCACTATAGTTCCATCACTCTCATGATAATCACGATATTAAGCCTGTCTATGGGGTGTGTATCCTCTTTCAGCCACAGCACTCGTTTACCTCCCTACAACACTCTTAAGAAATCAGTTATTTCATTATTATTGTTACCATTATCGTCACATTATAATTAATGTGAGGAAATTGGCCACAGAGATTAACCCACCTAAATTTACACAATTTATAAATTGGGGAGCCAGAATCCAAATCTGATCCCCTTACTAGCATTTTCTGTGGATGTCTCTGCATATTTTACATAGGTATTCCCATAGTGTGCGTTTGTTACTTTTTTCACTTATTATGTTATTATATCAATTTAATAATCTTTTTTAGAACTATATACCGTTTAATTGAGTGACTGTACCACCATTTACTTCATATTTCATTATTGGTAAACTTTAAATATTTTCAAATTTTGGAAACATTTTCTAAGACTTTTTTTTTTTCCTGTCTATATTTAGGTTATTTTCTTAGGGTTAATTTCTAGGAATGAAGGGATATAAAGGCTGTGTTTTCAAATCCTCTCTTGTTAAGGATATGAGAGTGCTCGATTTACCACATTCCTGTCAGCACTGGAAAGAATTATTAAAAACACAAAAACAAAAGAACCCAAAATAGAAACCAAAAAATGTAGATTGATAGGCAACAATAAGCTTCCTGTTTTAATATGCTTTTCTTGATCACTAATTAATCCATTTATTTGTTAAAAACATATTTACCGAACACCCATTGATTTGGGGATGTATCAGTGGACGAAATAAGTAAGCTGATGCATCTGTTTACTAATTCCACTCAAATATTTTTACTAGAAACACCACTATGGCAGCATGTGGAAGGAAGGCTGATCAAAGGTGAGAAGGATTTGAGGAAAGGACACCAGATTTGGATGCTATACTAACAGAATGACTATGACAAGTATTCAGCAACCTAGCCATTTAAAAGTGTGACAATGAGGTGCAAAGAATATATAGTATCACGAACTCCATGAGTTATCTAGATCTTTAGTTCTGTGGAATTTCCTTATAACGATGTTATCAAAGGTTCCCATCCCAGGCAGTTAAGTTTGATAAGAACTTTGTAGTTAGAAGTGAGAGATTTTCAGAGCTCACCTTCACATGTATTTCTCTTCCAAGCTCTTAATACTGTGGCTATTGTCTTGTCATGTTGAATAGCTTCAAATTGAGGTAGCATTTTCAAGCAGGAGTGATGTGGTTGTGGTGAGAGATGTTGAAATTTGAGTTTTGATGGCACAAGAATAAACCGAGACGCCTTTGTCTCAAGGCTTCCCAGGGTGGGAGCAGAGGTGGTCATCGGTGCAAGCATCGTATAGCCAGATGGTTTGTTCTAGAGTGTGGCCGTCACACAGGTAAGGGCTGCTTGAAAGGTAAGGGCACAATCGATTATTGTCATCTTAGAGAATGGACTGTGATGAAAGCAATCACAGTCTATGTTTCCAAAGAGCATTGTTTGAGACAAAGATGGCTGCAAAACAGAAAATTTGTTTACTCTGAGGTCAGGCATGCTGGGTATTTCGCTCATGCCTAGCACAAAGTAAGTGCTCAATAAAGATTTGCCACTTTTGTTTTTTATATTATCGCTATTTTATTATTAAATTTGCTGAAGTGAGTTTTTTTTCTCTCATATTCCAAAGGCACCTAGAAGTAAAAGGGAAAAAGGAATAGCATCACGGATGAAAGAGCAGGCAGGATCAAGGGGGGAGCTATTTTTAGGATGGGGCTGCTGCTTTAAAGTGCAGAGGAAGGAGCTGCAAGAATAAAGAGGCTGATGAGGAGGGCAGAGGGGAGATCAAGGGTTAACTGTGTGGAGTTGTGGGAGCGAATGAAAGGTCCTGGACACCAAGAGCACTTCAGTAGAAAAACTAAAGAAATGTTGGCAAGTCAGGGCTCTGGAATCCCTAAGGAATTTAGCTGCCTCGGGCTAAGCCCCGTTCTGTTTTAAAAGACATAATGTACTGGAGGCCATGCCCACCGCCCACCGCCACATGCCAGGTGGGGTGGGGGTTTGCAAATGAGAACAAATTGCTCTATTGCTATAGAGAAATTAGATGCTGAAGCCAGGTTGGGGATGACAGGTTGACTGACCATTTTTTGTCTCCTTTAAAGCAAGAGTAATAATTAAATGTTGAGATTTCAGTTTGTTCACTGTGCAGAGGGGCCATGCTCTCTCTTATGCACAAGAACCAAGCTGAAAGTTCCATGATTTGGATCCTGGTCTGATGAGGTGGCACGAACCAAGTGAATTCAGTTACTGCCGAGCACTTGCACAGAATGGAGAGGGTGCTTTCTGTCTTCCTCTAACGAGTTTGCTGACTTTTGCCTCAGCTGAGGAGGGAGGAGGCGGCATCTACCTGGTTCGTGGGCACACAGGTTGTTTGGGGCCTCCAAAGAGGACTGGCAAGTGGAGAGTCTCCACAGATCCAACTCTGTCGCAGCCCGACCAGAGTGCTGCCAAAGTCACTGGGTCTGTGGTGGTGTCAGCATCGGCCAGTGGAAGGGACATTGTGGTGGGTTCAGACTTGGGACACTGCCAACCACCCACGTGGCTTGAGGCAAGTCCCTTCACCTTGCTGCCCTTCAGTCTCTACACGTGTAAAATGAGGGACTGGATAAAGAGCCCCTGACTGCTCAGTCGTGATCTAAATAGGCCTGAAGTACGTGGGCCTTGAGAGTCAGTGGTTCCACAGAAACGTGCGCTGAGACTGGAGGATATGATGCTTTCAAGTGTATTTTCTCTGGTCTAGGACCAAATATTTGTTTAACCCCTTCCTTACCTCTGTGTTATAGCCTATTAGATATTTTTAATGAGCTCTTCCCCATTGCACACGCGTTTATCTGTTCTGACTATGAACTATTCAAAGACAGGGACATAATTTCTACTTTAATTTATTCCATTTTGTATAGGTAATGGACTTACATGTTCAAAAGGAACAAAAGAAATATAGTGAAGCCTACTTCCCCCAGCCACCCATTTCCC